GTAAAGACGAAAACGAAAGACCGAATGGACAAAATTATCTTGCTCTTAGTTTTACTTCAACTGTAGATAAATGATAACGGCTAGACTAATAAAGACGACAGCAAATATCTGATTAGTAAGCCAAACCTACGTTAAAAGAATAGGAAAGAAGGGAAAAAGAGTCATTACTCATTTTCACATGAAGAAATAGAACATAAGATGCCCCTAGATTAGAGTTAAAAGATCCAAAAAATTATGAAGCAGAGATCACTATAATTAATACTGATGGAATATCCAAAAGTGTGGCAGTTTAAAACCTTTGTAAAATACTAAGTGAATATGTTGAACAAGATTCAGTTTATCCAATTAAATAACTAATGTAAGTTAGCGAAGAAAACTGTGGTCAATTAGCCTTCTGACAACCGAATCGCTCATGTTTTGCTTTTTTATTTATATATTTTTTTTAATTTTTGATTACAGCTTGATTCCATACCGTATTTTTTGGTACAGGTATGGAATTTTCAGCATGTGATATCGGTAGCCCAAATTTTGCAGGCTGACCATAGATATCAGGTGTGTGTCGACAGGGGATCGAACTCTAGACCATGTGCATGGTCGGTGAGCGTCCTAACCGCTGTGCCACCGACGCACATGAAATTTGCTTTTCAATATGGCTTTGATGATTAGAATTATCCACTAAATAACAGTGGTGATGACGGCTAACATGACATTGAATTATCATCCTCTAAAAAGTAAACGATTTTATTGGAGCACATTTTACTTCATTACTGAGTCTCTTTAAGAAGATCAATACTTAAGCAATCTTCAATACGTATTTTTTATAAATGTAGCAAACAAAACTCTTTCGAAAATCTCACCAGCACATTAAAAAGTGGTACTTCTGTTGCTCACTGAGTTTTTAATTTTATTTGCACAACATGGGATGTCATACAACTAAGAGTGAAATAATTTTTTTTATTGGCCGATTAGTTTTAAATTCAAAGTAACCTTGTCACTTAAAGTTAGCATTCCGATAATCTTTTGAAATAGGAAGATTAATTCTAGGGGAAAGAACATTTGAGTTGAGTACTTAGAAACGACTGGTGCTATATGCTGTGAATTTGAGTTAGATGCACACAGGCTGACTGGATTCAACGTAGAACTTTGTACAGCAGTTCGGGTTGTCACACTCCACTCCATGTAGCACACAAAGCAGGAGAAGAGAGTAAAGAGAGATTCAAAAGAGATAATAAACAGAAATGTGAGGCAAAAGGAGTAGTAATATGGAAGAACAATAGAGTTTTATTGGATATGACATCATAAAGAGTGAATGCATCTGCGCCAGCCATTGAGAACGAATTTGAGCCATATCACCAATTGTCTCCATCCATCCATCCCAAGGACCCCAACCAAGCTGCTAGTCTACACCTCACAACGTGGCTTAAACTAACTGCTATGGATTTCATTGACTGATTCCATGTTTTCGTTCGACCACCACTGGCTCTTTTCCAATCTGATCCTATTTCAGCTAACATTACCCGTCGAGGAAGGCGATGGCTAGGCATAAATGCATAACACATGCCCTAACCATCTCAGTCGGTGTAACTTCACAACTTTTATGCACATAAACGATAACACGGCGTGACCAGAATTCGTTGTCTTGTCTACAACAATGAATCTCCATAGGTTTTTAACGAACTCAGGGGTTGCTGGTTATCCCAAAAGCTGGTAAGAACAAATTATGGAAATAAAGACTTCCTTTTAAATATTATCGTTCGGTTGTACAAAATCTATAATAAGCATTTCTTGTGACCGTTTAATTAATACAATAATCTTACTGTCTGAAATTGACAAGCGGAAATTTCAGCAACTAAGTTTGCTTCATAAATGAAAACTGTGAAATAAGATAGTATCTCATTTATGACTACTTAAGTGTTTATAAATATCTGCATTAATGAGATTCATGCTCACCATCTTATATGTTATCCATCATAATAAAAGTGTATCTTTCATTTGCTTTCAAATAACCGATGCATATTGATTACAGCATGACAATGACAACAACATGCAGCTAAGGGAATATCATAAAAGTTTAAAAACAGTTAACCCCATTTATCGTTCTCCTCAAACAAACAAAATAAATTATATATATTCACACAAAGATGTTCATTCCCTTCATAAATTAAACTTACTGATGAAAACATGTTTAAGGGCTCATCAAACGAACAAACACAAGTTTTCTTACTGGTGTTTATAGTTAATTTTCTTTTGTCAAGATTGAGGATGATCAGAATATCATACGACAACAAGCAAAGTAACTATTTACCACAGAGGTTTACACTACTGGTGAGTAATAAATAATACATCTGCGACATTTATTTGCTTGAAATATATGATGACACGACACGCAGTCGTAATTCATGATTAAAATAATTAGATAGAAGAAACATGAAGCTCAGACACTTTGTCATATTTTTTAAAAATAAATTCGGTCATTGTATGCTTCCAATATCCAAAATCATTATACACCTTCGTCTATTGACACTTAGTGAAGATATTTATCGAAATATAATTACACTTTCATTGCCTCTGAATCAAAACGTTACTTCATCATTAACTAATAGATATATAGACAGGTAAATTGAATGTTTACCATAATGTGGCTTTGTCTGCATCGATTTATGCTGAACAACTGTCGCATAGTGTCGACTGGTAAGTGGAGCTAAGAACTTACCCATCTCAGTGCAATTTCAAATATTGTTACTAGCCACCGGGAAATAAATACAATAGAGCAGAAACTTGTTACTTAACAATCATAGGACATTCTAGGGATTAGATACACGAACAGTGACTTACAAATGACACCTTTACAGAGGTTTTCACCCACTTAGTAAACTATTGAGCTATAATGATGTACACTTACACTCTATTATTGTAAGCGAATAAACCCATTGGCCGTAATTAGCAGTGACTGGAGGACTTTAAGCAAACAATTATGCTCACCAATTTTTCACTCAGGATCAATCATGACACGGTAATAAATATGTCATTGAAATATTTGACGAGACTAAATGTGAGGCTGCTTGCAATGAGTGAGGAAAGTACATAAATTATTGGTCGGTCTTTGCATCCTACTGCCCATACAACTTATAGGTTTGGAATTCCCATTCCATTAGGCAGACTCACGTATTCATCAGCAACATTTCCCCTAATTCATATGAAGGAACACTTAGACTAGTGATGCGGAGTTAATGAATGGTTCTCCTGAGAAACTATGACCACAGGGTCACCAAATAGCATTGCGAGGGTTATAGGTTACAGTTAAGCTCCTCCGTAAATGGGGACTTAGGACTGGTGGAATAAACTGAGCACTTCCACAGGTTTCATCAGAATAGACGTCGCAGCCATGTCCGAATAAGGATCTAGTTACCAGGTCACTAATTAAAGAATTGGTGTCTTTGCCTAAAGAAGAACAGATAGAAAGGATCTACAGCCACTTACACGTGCGGCCATTCAGAAATAAACACAGACGTGCTCTGACTAGTATTTCACTGAAGTATTAAGATTTGCCTAAGAACGGGCGGTTATTCACTCTAATGGAGAATGGCAACAATATGACCTGTAGTTGTCTATTATTAGCTCAATCCTTGTAGCTGCTGCGTGAGGCGATTTGTCTCGATACGTTTGAAGTTAGTCTTGACCAAGAATGAAATTGTAGCATATGACCACTGTCCACCGTTCGCTTTGTGTGAAATGCTGGCAGTTCAGCCCCAAAGTCATCAGAAAGGAGATATTTAAACTCTATTTATTCTACAGTAAGCTTTGCCAAACTCATTCTTTCTAAGAGCAATCAAACTACAACCCAAGACAACAAACAGACACCTAGTTATCCTATTCTCTTAGCTGAATGAAATATAAGTGACTATTAGCTGCCACTCAATAGAGTACCAAGTGTAGCAGTATTCCTGAGGTAATGAAAATTGGTCGTCAAATCTCTCACTGTATACAGAGCAAATCCTATAGTCATCATAATGTGGTTTGTTGGGTAATGAATAGGGTAAGCAACTCTGATAACATATATCGCCCGGGAAGACACAGATGTCTGATAGCCACTACTGTTAGCGAACTCCATCTTACTCTCTGCCCGTTGCAGGACTCATGCCAGGGATGACTCCCACACTATCGCGTACATGAAGTGGAAGCTTAGGATGAATAAAATACACAATCCAAAATACATTGAGGTTTACTAAATAACTGAATCAGTAGTGAGTAACCAGGAGTGCTGAGTTGAAATCGTACTTTACTTTTAAAATGTCCCTGCTACCCAGAAATGTGGTGTAACGTGACCATAAAAACAAATTAAGCGAGAAAAGTCGTAGTGTTTGGAACTACCAACAAATATAACAAGTTGGCTATCACAAATGCCTGTTCTGTGAAACCAATCAACAAAATGTTATAAACCTGATGTTTCAGACAGAAACATCCTCCTATCAATCACTGTAGCTATATACATCTGTTTTATATACTTCAGTTTGAGTTCCTAAATATCAGTGACAGTGAAATTCTTTGTACCTCTACATAAAGTATTGCAGGATGAACAAACATTCAACAAACAAACATCCCTTTCGCCATTATGATATTGACCCACTGGCTTACTGCATGGACATGGCCTTTTTTACCACCAGTGGGATCACAGAACATAAATAAAACATGCTGAGAGCTGTGGAACTTTAATATGACCATGATCCTGCATGTTTACCAACACCTTTAATTTCACGAAAGTAAACAAGTTCTGTCCTTATAATATACTATCAAAAAGATGTAGTGCTGTTTATTTCGAACAATTAGTTTATGACTATCTGTTTCGCGTAACAACCAAATGCCTGGACAAATTCAGATCTTGGATACAAGTTTGCTGAGAGTATCATGTACTAAGTAAATTAAGGAGACTTCAGTGATGTTATGTACGGATTTATACAAACAACCCAGTGTAATCAGTAATAACAGTATATCATGTATAATACAGTTTTATTTTTAGTCACACAGGAAAATTATGATGGCACAGAAGTGAATTAGTCATGAAAATACAAATAATGTATATAGAAACAACTCAGTGGGGAATATTACATAAATATTTTATAGAAAGAAATTATCTAACTGCGACTTCTGCGTCGATCACGTTCTTGTCGCTCTTTCGCACGCTTTAAGTCTCGTTCAAACGAACTCTCCCGTTCATTTAAAGATCTAGATCGGCGACGATCACGTGACCTAGACCTCGATCTACGTGAGTGATGTCGGTGTTTTTCACGACTGGACCTAAAAGCAAGGAATAAATTAATTCAAAACATGTAACACTATGAAAAATACTTTCCAGATAATCACAGTACAAGACATAAAGACGCCTTAATGAAACTGAAAACAGATGAGATTCTAGTGATTTTCAAACCTGAAGAAGCCTCAAGAGTCGCTATCATAGATAAGTCAGATTATTTAAGTAAAATGATAACTTTACTAAGCGATGATCTTAAATTTCAGAAATTGTTAAGTAACTGAGACGAAACAGTAAGGATTGAAAAACAGTTAATGCAATCAATAAAAAGTCAAAACAACGACTATATTTCACCTGTTTTGTATGAAACACTAGAACATGCAGGTACGGTAACACTCAGGTTACATGGCTTGGTTAAGGCTCGTAAAGGCGAACTGCCACTTAGACCAGTCTTCGAAATGTTTAGCTCACCATCCCATACAACTGTGAAACGGCTGGGGCAACCTTTACAGCCGTTACACAAGAAACTCTTGAAACAGCGCAGAAGACAGTTTTGAGTTTGCGGAAAGAATCAAAGAATTAAAGGTGAAAGATAAACATGTGGTATCTCTGGATATGTCTTCTTCATTTACCAATGTGCCTTTGATGGGAACACCGAATTCAATATGTAGTGAAATGATAAAGGTGTAGAGGCATTCCTGTGTTTTCCCTAAAAGAATCTCTTTTAAGGTGTACGATGAAATTAAACTTTCCATTCAATAAAGAGATGCATAGATAATCAGATGGTGTTGCTATGGGATCACCACTAAGTCTAATCCTAGCGGACTTTTCCCTGACGAAACTAGAGAATAGCCTCCTTACAGATGTTATACATAATCTTGATTTATGTTGTCGTCATGCTGATGACTACTTCTGTGGGGTTAGTTACAATGGATGTACGATGGGGGTAAGTTCATCGTCGAATTTCTGAACACCTCCCGGTCTTGGTTAGGCGAAGGTTCAAACAAAGCTAAACACAGCTTAATACTACTTCATCGCGTCGATATCGGACATCAGGTTGACAATAACAAAGCTTTTAAGATTATTTATCGTATTCCACTCAACTTTTCATATGCTCTACGAGTACTACTTACACGTACAACAGAGGCAATCGGAATTCATCTGAACAAACCAAATCTTTGTGTTTAAAAGAAATCGATGCAACCTCTTTCTTTGCCTCTGCCGACTAGATAATATACACTGAGTTTTACAAATGACTTCCCACTCCCCTTGTAACTATCATTTAACCTTGTTATTTTATTATGATTACTATTCTAGCTAATTCAGTTAACTTGTTTGTGTCTATGTATTCCCACATGTTTCCTCTTAGACATGCTGCTCATTCACCAGCAAGCTGTTCGCAAATGATTCAGTAGTTTCTACATAATTTGGCCCACGACTTCATGTCCGTTTGAGAGAGTTGCTTAGTAAAATTATTAGGTAAGCGAACATAAGGCCCAGCATAGTGACATTTTGTTTTGAGTTGTCATATCACAGCAACTGTCACACTGAAGTCTGCACAAATGAAATGAGGTGATAAAGTAATGTATCACAAAGCTAGCGGACCGAAAGGAAAATGAAGAAAATAAATGGGTTAAGTGTTTGCTTATTAAATAAATCATAATTATACTTCAATAGTTTACACACAATGATAAGTTTTTGTTTTTTAGTAATATTTCAATCAAAATTACTGCCCATGATCACACCAACTGTTTTTAATTAAAAACAAGACAGTTCCAACAGCCAGTGTGATCACGGGCAGGAATTTTGCTTGAAATATTACCAAAACACAAAAACTTGTCATTGTGTAAACTATTGAAATATAATTATAATTTATTTGAACAATTCCACAATGCTCAAACCTTTTACTGACATTAATGTTTGCTCATTATTATGATCGGTTTTCAACTATATCTTATCACACGATGTTAGGTGAAGAGGACTCTTCAGTCTATGAAATTGCGGGCTTTATTCGACTGAAATGTTTGGAACATTTGTTAGTTATATCAGTCCAGTTTTATCTAGACAAAAAATTTTAAGAGACGAATAACTAAGTGGGAAATACCTCTGGCGTGATCAGACCAAAACATAACAAAGGCTCATGAGACTTCTGGTCGTTAGCTTGATCTTTGTAGGAAGGTGTGGGATGAATCAGTTGTTAGAGGCGTTTAGTAATAATGCTTAAAAAGTCTATAGCAACGGGTGTATTTTATCCTTATCATATTTAACATTCATTTTGTTTAACTATTGTTTCCTTTCAAATGTATCTCTTGCGACAACATTCGATAATTATTTTCTTTTTGTATATTCTTGTGCAGTGATATAGGTAGAGCTAATAATTCTGTGTAAGATTGCACATTGATCTCTCTGGTGTCGAAGTACATATTTCTCAAAGAATGGTATTGCTACGAGTACTTCAACACCACGTTATATTCGTATTATCGTATGAATTTGTGCAAATCATTTGGTATTGCGAACATCGGTTTGGCAAGGCGAAATCAGAACTGTTATCTGTCCTCTGAGTTGACATCGAAGCTGTTTAGTGACAACTGCTACAGTCAGATGAAACACGAACTTTCGCAGTACCACTCAAATGGGGTCAAGTAGATAATAACTCATTTCGTGATAGAGAAGCAAAACGTCTACTTATGACTCAAATTTCTAGAGTTAATTATATCGTGTCCTCAAGTACGGCAAGCCGTTTGTTTTCGGAAGCAGATGCTCTGGGATGTGTAAGGAGCGTGGGTAATAAATTAAAAAGAATGATCCCACGTCTTCGGTGGAAGTTCCTATTACTATAACGAGAACGGAGTGACAAAATATATACTGTTGTAGCACAAACTGTCTATGAGTTTGTCATATGAAGGCCTGACAGCTTGAAAGGACGATAAACTCTGACTGGGACTCTGATTCTGTAACAGGGTGGTCGGTGACCACCATCTGCTATGGTAACTGCTGATAAAAGCTAATTTAGTAAACACTTCCAAGGATAAATTAAACCTCCAAAGAAATTAAGTTCCACAACTGAAAAACTACTCTTGTAACTAAGCCTCTAAGAAAGACGGAAAAATCTAAGTGCATTTCTATCCAAATTTTAATAGCTAAGATTACAACGCTTCGAATAAGCAGGCAAGATAACACAGGAATAATACTACCAAAAGCATGCACAAATCCATAGCAGAAAGCAGTGGTGAAACAAATGTTGCTGTACAGAATATTTATGATGAAGTCAGGGGTTGCCAGCCTGTCTGTCTGCTTTCGACATAGAACTTTGCACATATGTGCGGCAGTTCAAGTCGCCACACTCCATGTAGCACACAAAGCAAGAGAAGAAAGTAGGAGAAATGCATATCAGAGACAGTAAACAGAGGTGTGAGACAAAGGAATAGTAACAACGAAGAACAATATAGTGTCATTGGAAATCATAAGTCACAAGGAGTGGATGCATCTGCGCCATTGAGAACGATTTTGAGCCATGTCACCAATTGTTATCAACCATTGGTTTTACTATCCCGAGGACCCCAATCAGTAAGTCTACACCTTCCTACGTGGCGGGGTTGCCAGCAATTTTCAGTATCTCAGGATTACTATGTATGGCACAGATCATTTTGGGGATTCGTAGACTAGTGATATGCGGTGAGTATATCTCAATTATGTTAACTTATTTTTATCGCAGCAAACAATTAGCCCATCATCTACACCAGTGGGATTTCACTTCCCTGTGACACCCTTACTAAACAATCTACACCTAAACAAGAAAATGAAGTCATGCTCGAAGACCCTAGCCGCACTAAACTTGAACTAGTCAGAACAAAATGACAAAACTAACCGATCACAAAGTATGCAGTGGCTTAAAATTTGTCATTTGAGATAATTATATTCAATATACTCGTTAAAGAAATGTCTGGCTTGGTGTTAATGCAATTCTTGTAAGCAAACTTACCAATGTGACTATAAGTCATCATAAGAGCTACGCAACGACCTGATGGGTTTTTCTAAAGTCACAGGGGTTCGTTTATTCAGGTTCTAGTAGTACACGGTTGCCTAGTATTTCCTGTGGTTTCATAACACGAAAATGGTTCAACAAAATTACCTATGATTAGATATATAAAACTGTGTTTCTAAATGTGCACCTGGTAATAACATTGAGCATACTGACTCACCTATGTTTTTCATGCCGATGAGAATGCCCACCAGATTTATGGTGAGAAACATCGTAATTTCGATCTGAATGCCTCTTATTTTCATCCTCTTGAGCGGAGCTAGCATCCAAAAGTGCTTGACATTTCCGAAGGCGTATTTTTTCTTCCAGTTTCTTTTGAACCGGGACAGGAATGCGTGGGAATAGGGTGGAGAACCAATCAAGTTTAGTCAGCCATTGCTCTATCATGTGGCCTATCGTCATAACACAACCGCCTCCTGCTTTCACATCCAACTCCTGAAATAAAATAAATCTCTATGAAATTCAGAACATAAAACACTTAAAGGGCATATGTTGAGATTCTTACAAGCAATAGGCTAGACGACTGCCCCCAAAAGACCGGCAACCCGTGTGAATCAGGAAGTGCTACGGGACTGATAACTTATCTTTTTACTTACCTCAGGATCACCCCAATAGGGTGAATACCACCACCAGAAGTCTTCAGGAGGTATGCAGTATCTAAAATGTAGCTATATCGGGTATTAACTAACGCAAACCTTATATACATAAAGCCCAAAGCTCGTATATACGGAGAGTCAGGATGATCTAAAAGACCCTTGAGCTGTTTTCTAGTCAGCTTCAACGTAAAAAGTTTATAAAGAAGGCAATAAGCAGTTGACACGATACCACCTGCTCCCACTCCTCGGACGCCACCACACATGCCAGTCTGACCACCGATCCGCCTACTCCCACGTTCCCATGGCTCTAAGTGCTCCACCTAGGAGACAAAATTAGGATATTACACAAATGTATAACCTTATAATATATCTCGTCAATAACTTCGTGATATGTTTTCAATTCAACTAGATTGGCTTTGAAGTATGGGGACTGAACAATATTTGTATAAATCATAGTATTTAAATTCATCGTCTGCTGGTTTCCCCAAAGCTTCAAAATATTTCCACGCGGTGCCTGTTGATCTGCATCATCCGCCCCACCAACAAGCCCCAAATGGGGGAAACCTGCTGCCATTCTGCTCTCAGCTGTAATGCAATGTCCTTGAGATTCTTGGGAAGTTTCAGTATAAAACAGCTGCCGGTTGTTGACTGGTACTCTTGCACAAATCACCCAAAAATTTAAACGCTAGGGTCTCTAATGTGAATCTGGTAATAACGTTTAGTTTTATAACAACCGCTGTAATCCTGATTTTTAACCATCCAATATCCAATATTCTTTTTATGAGCTATCGTAAACCAAACTGATTTCTCAGTGCTTGGTTGTAAGGTGAAAGTCCATAATTTTCGGTAAAATTCTGCACAGCTTAACCCGCCACTCGCCTGCAACAGTTGTCAGTAAGGAGTTTCAGGACAGAAAACACTGCAGTCTTTGCCCAGTGGTGCACTTATGGGTTGCGATTAGGAAATCAGTGATTAATTGTCGGCAGGATACATGTGTTTATGTGATTATGGTCATTTGTGATTTCAAAACAGCGATCATATCACTCCTAAGTGTAAAGACATACTTGTATGGATTGTACTGAAGGAACATAACCTTTTTGTATCCCTTACTTGAACCATTTCCGACAGTTTTGAGTCCATTTTAAGCTCAAGGTAGACAAGGACATTATGCTATTACTGATTTATGATATTATTGAAAGGCTAATCACACACCCTCTGAATGGGATATGCTGTTCCCACTCTAGATAGAAAATATCTATTTTGTTAGTTATCCACTTGGTAAGTCTGATCTTCCAAACTGGTGAATCTAATTCAACCATTACATACATACTGAATCTCTTTATGGTAAACCCGGCTGTCTAGAACAAATACCATAGCTTCAGGTGATACTTTTGTAGCAACATCTCCCTCACTCAGTCAGATAAACAAGACATTTTCGTCTGCAAATTAATTCTTGTGAGACTAAATAACTCCAAGTTTTGGGTGAAGTATAAAACTTTTTTCTTAAACTTCATCAGTCTTTCTGTTTTCATTCTATAACAAGCTAAGCAGCAGACACACAGGTAATGAAAACAGAACACGAGCTGTACAGGTGAACATCTATTCCAAGAAATCAACTTTTAAAACAGTGCGGGAGTCCAGCCTTAGAGTATAAAAGTTTTACTGGTCTTCGCTAATGATTAGGTTCTGCAATTCGTGTATCTCCTGGTCCAGATAGTTGACTCCCGAGTATCTTCCTGCAAACTAAGAAAATAAAACATTGATTTGTGTTATAATACATGTTTTGTTTATATTACACTGCCCCCTACCTCTGGAGGCACTGTTCTCAGTGCCAAATGGCGGAACTGGGTAGCCTGCACCCCCAGCGGCTGGGACTTCATTTTGACAGACGGCGGGGAGAGGAAGATGAGATGCAGCTTGAGTTGATTGTAGTGGGCAGGAATAATTTCGGCATTCGGCTGATGAATGTTTTTCAGGAAGTTGTAGGGGGGCATGTCCGCACAATGTCAAAGGGTCCTTGCCATGGAGAGTAGAATTTTGAGCTCGGTCCAAGGGGACGGTGAAGCCAAACACGACCACCGACGGAGTATGCTGGGCCAAGACGATCATACACATTCTTCTGATGATGGCTTGAAGACTTTTGTTGAGTGCCCGCCAGATCATAAGCGATTGCCAAACGGTTGTATAACTGCCGCGCATAAGCATCATAGTCAATCTTTTCAAAGGGTAAGAAAGGAACTTGAAATTCAGTAGGAATACGTAATTCTTGACCGTACAAAAGTAACGCAGGAGAGAAATCCGTGGAGGAATGTACGGAAGAGAGATAAGCCAGGAGGCACTGAGGTAGTGTCTCGTCCCAAGCGTCAGTTGACAAGCGATTTAGGAAAGCGCGTAGGATGTTCTTGATCGTTCGATTAGTACTTTCCACCAAAACGTTTCTTTCTGGGTGATAGGCAGTCGTGCGTGTCTTACGAATACCAAATACGTTGCAGATGTGATGAACAAGTTGGCTCTCAAAAGCAGCACCTTGATCCGAATGCAATGAGTGTGGGGCACCAAAAAGAGTAATCCAGCTGTCAATGAACGCTTTGGCCACGCTGTTTGCATCTTGTTGTTGCAGAGGTACCACCTTACACCATTTTGTAAAGTAATCAATCATCACTAAGATGTATCGATTGCCTCCTTTTGAGGTTGGAAGTGGCCCCATTATGTCAATACCGACACGCTGATTCGGTGCTTGGGTTAGCATAGGTACAAGTGGTGCTCTAGTCGCTTGTGTAGGCTGTTTGTTGCGTCTACAGAAGTCGAAATTCTGACAGAACTCGGTCACATCTCGATGAAGCAATGGGCACCAGAAACGCTGACGGATGGTGTGTCCAGTTTTGTGTCGACCATCGTGTCCAAGTTGGTGGTGTTCTTGGCTGATAAGCTCCTGTACTTTTACGTTTGGAACGAGGAGTCGGGGGTTGGAATTCGGTTCCACTATGTAGAGGGCGTCATCTATTAGTCAGAGTAAGCCTCATTTACCGCAGATACACCGCGTAGCTGCTGAAAGGTCTCGTAATACCTTATGCGTCAGTTTATTGTTGCCGTGTTGTTGTCGTAAATAAAAAGGTGTATATCTGTGTCCGAACTGGCAGGGGGCCCAACCAGTATCAGCGGCAGCACCGAGTAACACATTCACTGTGGTTTCATAATTTGGTAGGCGTGACAGAGCATAGCGTTAGTATGTCATTTTCCGGAACGGTATTTACAAGTGAAATCCAACGCCTGTAGACGTTCCTACCAGCGGGCAAGTTGACCCTCTGCATCACGAAAATTCTGCAACCACTGTAACGCCTTGTGATCAGTCCATACCCGAAATTTACGCCCCAATAAATAATGGTGAAAGAGAGAAAGTACACCAGAGCTAACACCTCACGGCGAGTCGTAGAATACTGTGTCTCTCTCTTGTCCAGTGTCCGGCTAGTGTTTGATAATACTCACACCTGTTCGTCAGAAATCACCTGTGAAAGGACAGCTCTTATCGCCTGTGCACTGCCGTCAGTATCGAGGATAAAGGGCTGCTGTCAGGCAATGTATTTGGAAATGCTAAGACGGGGGGAGAAGTTAAACATGTTTTAAGCGAATTAAATGCTACCTGGTACTCGTTAGTCCAAGCGAATTTCTGTCCCTTTTCTGTTAATTGACGAGGGGGCTGCTATACTGACAAAATTTTGAACGAAACGATGGTAGTAAGAATCAAGCCCCATGAAACTACGTACGTCAGCTGTCGATTTAGGGATAGGCCAGTTGAGGATCGCTTATAATATGCTTCTGTCTGTATTGACTCCCTGTGGAGTAATCTCATGACCAAGGAAGGTAACAGATTTCTGCAGGAAATGGCATTTTGAGGCTTTCAGCCTAAGATTACTCTCGCGTTAGCGTTGGAATACGGCTCAGAGGTTGGCATGGTTTCCTTCCAGGGACTGTCCGAACACGATGATGTCGTCCAGGTAAATAAGGCATTGTTTAGGGACTAACCCTGCAAATACTCCCTGCTTGAGCCGTTGAAACGTAGCAGGGGCATTAGACAGGCCGAATAGCATGGTTATGAGTTCATGCAACCCCGTAATCACAACAAATGCAGTTTTTGGTCAATCTTCAGGACGAATTTCGACTTGCCGATAGCCAGAAGCCAGGTCTAACGTGGAGAACCACTGAGCCCTACCCAAAGCATATAGTATAGCGTCTATGCGAGGTAAGCGAAAAGAATTTCGCTGTGATTGCACCTAGATGATGGTAGTCTACTCACAGACGGAGGGAGCCATCCTTCTTCTTCCCAACGACGATAGGGGATACCCACGTGAAGTGGACGGTTTAATTACTTTCTTTTGTAACATTTCTGCTATCATCGTGTACAATTGTGGTTGATAATGAATGGGCACCCGCCGAGTTGGCATCCTAGGCGGCAAGTTTTCCCCTGTCTTGATCTCGTGTTGTACAATACTAGTTCACCCCATGACGTTACCACCGTCAAACACGTCGCTGTACTCTTGTAGCAAGGCTAGAGTGTCGGCACAGTCTTTCGAGTTGAGGTGAGGGTCAGCACTGATGTCCACCGTGATCACCTAGGGTTGCGTGCACACATTAACACACTGATTGTGACTAACTGGTCGACTCAGTGAGAGGTTAAGCACCCCCAACCGAATTCTGAAACGACAGCGTGTTGAGCATTTAAGAAACCAACACTCAGTATGACGTCCAATCGTACATCACACATGACAAAAGAACGGTAACAGGTGAACCCTTGTAAAGTCACGGGAAGGGCGACGGAGTCCGTTACGTTGATAGGGGTCCCGTTGGTGGTAATTAACTGCAGCTGACTGGTGAGAGGATTGGGGTCGGCCTTCAATCGCTGAAAAAACTGTGCGGAAAACTGAGGACGATGCCCAGGCGTCAACCAGAAAAGTTACTTCTACATCATGAATTTTACCCTCAAGGATAAGTGGGGATTTCAAACATTGGCTAAATATGGGCACATTAAGAGGTGGCCCACCTTGAGGTTTTTCATTATGTTCGCATTTCCATGCTCTGCAACCGAACTGACAACAATAGTAACATCTGCTGGAGTCATCGTTTGGTTTGGACGGGGTTGCATATGGCGTTGTAGGTTGGGCTGTTGATGGAACGTTGAGGTGGCGTTGTCGAGGAGCTGGGATGGGTGCTCTTTCACCAGTGGTCCCTGGTGCATGACAGAAAGTACTGGCAGTTGACGAAAGAATATGCTACACACTATCGAGGCGTCTGAGTACCTTGGGAGCATCTGAGACGGATTTTGCTGGTTGGCGTAATAGGGCTGAAATTATCCCGCATGCTCAAGGTCACTGATGAAGTGAGACGCTCAAAGGTCATTTACGTCCATGTTAGTCGGTTATGTTGGTTGCAGTCCGTACGTCGTTTAATTAGTATTCCATGTACTGATAGAATTTTTTGTAAAATAGTACTGTTCTTCACACGAAAATAGCCACATTTTGACGTAGTCTTCATTGAATGACACTATGTCGAAAGCTGCAGCTTCTACAAGAAATAAAC